AGGGTGAATTGCTGGAGGATCTTAAGCTCCACAATCACGCTGTAGAGGGTTTATACCTCTACAAACCTCGGGAGGGCAAGTCCGTAAGGACTGTCCAATTAACATTTGCAAGCGGGAAAGTACCTAATGGTCCTCTTCCCCTTCTTTATTCCAGGTACCAGCTCCACCCTTACATCCCAAAGGTACGAAGATGCCAGAAGTGCCAGAAGTTGGGTCACCTAGAGAAGTTCTGCCGCAGCAAAGTTTGCTGCGAAAAGTGTGGAGAGGGGCACAGCACCAAGCTGTGTAAATCCAAGAAGGTACGGTGTGTGAATTGTCGGAGTGATAACCACTCCAGCAACTCCGCACAGTGCCCTTCGTTCCTGTCGAGAAGAGCGGAAATAAGGATACAACACACCTACAAGGTATCCTCCCAAGAAGCTCGCCAACACGTCTCGGCCAACACGGTGCCCGCTGCCCCCAAGCCCGTGGTCGAATGCCCCAAACCTGCCCCGGCTCAAACTCCGAAAGGATTCACGCCGGAGTTCAAGGACGAATCTAAATTTTTTGATTTCTGTTGTAGGTTGGTTGCAGTAGCAATTAGTTCCAGATCCAAGGCTGGTGAAATCAATCCAAAGGACGTTATGGACGCAGTATCAAGAGTATGTGCCGACAATGTCACGAATCTACATATTTGGTTACACAATGAAGATCACTCACATATACCTTTGTTAGATTTTTAATTATTTTTATTTTTCGACTAAAGGTATATGTGAGTGGTGGATATACTAATTTATATGTATCATAGTATATCCACCTATCACTTGATCTGAGTGTGGGTGGGTCTGAGGGAAAAAAAAAAAAAAAAAAAAAAAAATATCAAACTGCTACCATGATGGACGAGGAAAGGGAGGAAAAGGTTTAGGAAAAGGAGGAGCCAAGCGTCACAGGAAAGTTCTCCGTGATAACATCCAAGGTATTACCAAGCCAGCTATTAGACGTCTAGCTCGACGAGGTGGTGTCAAACGTATCTCCGGCCTTATCTACGAAGAAACCAGAGGTGTATTGAAAGTCTTCTTAGAAAACGTCATTCGAGATGCTGTCACCTACACTGAACTTGCCAAGAGGAAGACCGTCACTGCCATGGATGTCGTCTATGCTTTGAAGAGACAAGGCCGAACGCTCTACGGATTCGGAGGTTAAGCTTTTGCTTACCAGTCAGTCTCCCGAAGAGCACTCAAACGGCCCTTTTCAGGGCCACCCAAATTCTCACAAGAGAGTAAATTACAGTCTTATTTCAAAATACCATCCAGTAATGAAATTAACTACAAAATACATACTACCCGCACACATCATGCCCCACCCCATTTTTTTTGTCTTCACCCTTCAAAGAAGCATAACACCCATATAAATCGTATAGACTATAGTATAAGCCCTTGTCGTGTGTGACCTAACTAAAACTATAGCTATATAGTAGATATAGTAGAGAGAGAGAGAGACCTGAGTGGCCTACAACTAACTACTCTTTATACACTGACTCGCTCGCTCACTCACTCATCCATCCATTCATACAGTGCAGTGGTTGCTTTGGCCAATTTTCTCATAGTAGGGTTTTTTGGTTTGTTTATTGTTTCATTGCAAGTTTCTCAACTTAATGTGGATTGTTAATGGAAACTGACTTTTTTCACTCTTTTAAGAGAATTTGGATGGCCCTGAAAAGGGCCGTTTAGTTGGAGGTTTTTCGGCCAAGTCTAAGCTG